CACATTTTATTATACTTGTTTTTAAAATGCTACCATTTTTTAAAAAAATAGGAACGTGTTGAAATCAATTGGATTCAGGAGCTTCTAGATGAGATACCAAATAAATAAAAATATTGTTGATCAGGAAGAACAACTTTTGTGAGTGAACAGAAAGATATTTAACTTTATTGCTAGGCAATCAATCAGTTCCAACTGATCCTACACAATCAAAATTATATCTTTTATTAAAAATATTAAGTATTGATCCTGATTGCAAAGGAAAGGTTTTGGACGATTTTTATTTCTCTGTCAGGTATTTTTTTATAATTTAATATAGAACCTAAAAGATGAAATATTATCCTCTCATTTAAATTATTTGATAAATTTAGTGATATATTTTATATAAATTATAAAGGAGGCATTTCTATACCATGGCTACTAGGATTAACTTGTACTGATAATGTTCAATGGCTTAGATATTTTATTTCAACTACTGATCCTGATCTACTTCCAAAATCTTTTAAAGCTAATCAAAAATGAATTGAGATATTAAATCTTGGGACACAGACAGCTCATATAATCAATAAAGAACTTCAAAGGAATAATAGCAATTCCATGAATATTATAATGGAAGAAATTGAAGTCAGCTGAGAAGGATGAAACTCAGATAAAAAAACAATTCAGAGTCTTGGAATGAGATTACACCATACAGAAAAAAGATTAAAAAAATTGCAGTGAACATTTGAAAAAATTAACAAATTAAACAGTCAATTACAAGATGGATTTATTCATCCAGATATGTATTATATAAATGTAATTTATTTTTTATTGGCATTTAATGTTAATACAGTTGGCTCTGGATATAGTGAAGCATTTGTTTTTGGAAAAACTTCACTATATAGTACGATTCACTATATAAAAAGATCGCCAAATGTCACGTGAAATTTTCATTAGTTAAAATTTATTATTCGAATAAAAAAATTACATTAATGAAATAATTATGTGAACCATCTTTCTAGTGTAGTTTGTTTTTTAGAATTAATTTCATGTCTAGATATTTGATTTTTGATTACATTAATTGAATTAATGTGTTTTAACTCAAAGACAAGGTTTTGGGGTGGATTCTTAATATAAGAAGTCACTGTATCTAAAGATTTTAATACTTCTGTTGTGGTAATTGTCTGTGGAACAACATCGTCATCTTCTGTTTATGTCTGAATTATTGGTCTTACACAGCTGATTATTTCTTCATCAGTAATTTCGGTATCTTCACCATTATCGTTATCAATTGTAATAAACTCCACAGCATCTAATTTATCAGATGCTTCAGTTATATTAAACTGATTGATTAGATCTTGAAGTTCATTAATTTGTTGGTTATTGCTACTTGTATCTGTATCTACTTGCATGGTATCTTCTGAAGTCGGTAAAATACCTGTTTTCAACCAACAGTTTTTAATCGTTTCAGCAGTTACTTCTTTCCATGCATGTAAACAAAGTGTAATCGCATCTGATATTTTTAATTTTTGAAGAGGAGTACCAAGGTTTTGATGTATATCATAAGCATCAATCCTGTTTTAACAAGTAATTTTCTATAATGAGCCTGAAAAGCATGTAAAATTAGAACAAATAATTATTGAAAGGTAAAAAAAAATTTATTGTTTTTGATAGTAATAGATACTTTAAATGAATTAATTATTCCTGAATCAGCTGGTTGTAAAAAAGCAGTTGTATTAGGAGGAAGGTGATGAAGTGTGATATTTGTTAAAGTAGTATTTTCTTCAAGAATATGTACTGGCGCATTATCAAATAGTAATAATATGTGTTTGCCTTTTTTCACCATCAGTTCATTCAACTTCTTTAAGTAAAGATTCCAAATGGAAACCTGCATCCAGGCTTTCTCATTCCAATAATAATCAACGGGAAGCTTTGACTTATCAATTCCTCTCATGTTTTATTCTTATTGATAAACAAGGGAGGAAGTTTTACAGTTCCAGTCGCATTTATAGTTAGTAAAAGGGTTACTCTTTTTTTTGATTTTTTAACAACACTAAGTGGACCAGTTGATAGTGTTTTTGAAGGTTCTAATTCCCAAAACAAGCCTAATAAATTAAAATATTTGTTAGTTTTATATCAAGGTTACTGATAAATTGTATTTTATAAATGAATTCACCAATTTCATCACAATTATAAACATCTTCTAAAGGAAATTCTGAAATCAGTTCTTGTAATTTGTTTCGTTCTTGAGCAATGATTTCTTCGGGAGGTGCCGATCCTGCTTCACTGTGTAAATTATATTGATTTATATTATGCCTTTGTTTAAAGCTTGTAACCCATCCGTCTGAACCTTTAAAATCATCAATTCCAAGCAATTCAGCAAATCTTTTGCTTTTTTCAACAATAATATCACCTGTAATTACTTTTTTAGCCAAAAGTGCTTGGTTAATCCATAAAATCAATGCACTTTCAATTTCAGGATATTTAGGTGATTTAGTCTTTTGTTTATTAACATCTGAGGAACCCACTGCTAACCATTTTTCTTTATCTTTTACAATATTACAAACTGTACTTTCAGCAATTCCACCAAATTTGTTACCAAGTTCTTTATATGTAAATGATGGGTTTTTTTCATGGAATTCACAAAGTTCTTTTTTTTCACCCCAAGTCAAAATTTTCTTTTTCATTTTCGATGGTTCAATTGATGACATTACTAGAAATACTGGAAAAACAATCTTTTATTGTTATAATGAGAAAGTACTCTCCAGTTCCTTTATTTATATAAAGATTTAAAGTATTACGATTTATTTCTAAGAAATCATTTATGATGTAATTAAGTATTTACGTAATTTTTTACATGATGATAATTTTAAATCATTATTGCGTAGGTAATTTTTAGACTGTAAAGATTGTATGAATAGTTTTTATTTAGTTGATTTTTTACATGATGATTCTTTGAATCATAAATATTGTGCGAAATTTCATTATTATTATTATGTGTAATGTTTAATCATTCATTTAATATTAATACTAATACTAATTATTATTCACTATTTCCTTTAAAAGGAATGATTGACATAATTTAATAATTTCTTCATTATATGGAGATCTATTTTACTATTGATGGATCAAGACAAACTTCATTATATACTTATATAGAGAGTTTATATTAAAATTCATTATATCAAGAGCAATTTGTATATAATGAAATTGGAATTTTTCTAACTTCATTATATAGTACGATTCACTATATAATAGGTTCACTATATCCAGAGCCAACTGTATAAATAAATTTTTTTAATTTGTATCACCATCAGAGGTCACGTGATGTAAAATTTTATTGCATTTTTGAGCATAACTTACAATTCTGAGTTTTGATGATTTTTCCCAAAATTGGCCACGAGGCGCACCAAGTTGCGGGACTAGGTGACTTGCACCATACTAAAAGAGAAGGTATGGCCTACTTGCACATTTTAAAAATTTTTGTACAGAGGATTCTATCAAGTTTCTGATTGGATTAATACATTACAGGTAAAGAAGACATTAGATGTAAAGTATGATCAAATGGTTTTAATGATCGAAATTTTACAAAATAGCTATAGAAAAAATTAAAAATATTTTTAACTCCTAGAAATCTTGTCTATAACGTAACAATGCTATTTTTTGTTTATTATGGCCTTTTAAAATTGGTGTTAGTGAGCATCCAGAATTACCTCAACATTGTTCTATTTATCTAGTGTTCGTACTGGTTGGTCTTAACATTATCCATATAAGGTGGTTGTCTTGGTAACTTAGATATCAATCGTGTGTTCCGTTTATCTTTGTCTCTGAATGATCTCATTCCTTATACTTATGCTCCTCCTAAAGATGAAACTTAATGAAGAGAGCTCAGGATAATCTACATTAGAAACCCTGTTGATGAGTTCTACAAAAAAGCAGTGCGTGGTTCCTTACCAATTTCGAAGTAGCCATCATACCACCTTTTAACGGGTCTGCTATGTCTCATTGCCTCAACTGAGAAATTAATTCCAAGAGGTCTGTTTGCAAGATGTTTACCTGACCCCACAAACCAATTCTGCAAACGTCTTGTTTCTAAGGCCGATGAATTGGGTAAAAAGGTGACCGAACTTATACGAGCAAAGCTTAGGGATGAGGCGTTTCCAAATCGGTTTCAAGTAAATTGCTAATTCTAGAGCTGATTTTTCTTACAAGCTACTAATTAAATTTGTTTATAGTAATGGTTTAATATGGTTACTTATTGGAAATAAGTAACAAATTTCTCGAGAATCCAGAATCTTCAGAATTATAGGAATTTGGAACCGGTCCAAGCAAGTAACAAAATTGCCAATGCTTTTGAGATGATTTTCTGGTGAGAAACTATTAATAGAATTTATTTATACCAAAATTTTTTTTAAAGGGCGTTACTTATTATAGTTAGGTGATTATTTACGATTTGGAATCGCCCCATTCTTAGCAAAGCCTGCTGTAGCAAATTTATCAAACATAACTTGGGTGAAAACAAAGCGTTTAGGTGTAATGAATGTAGAATGGTGACGGATAGGGATCTTAATAGCGTTCAAGAAATATTCCAGAGAGCTTTGCTTGACGGGACTGTTTGTATGCAGTGAACTTGCTGTATATACGTACTAATTGATTGTTTATTTTTTTATCAAAAATAAAAAAAGAGAATAGAGTCACAAAAAAATTATTTGAAATTAATCATGTTGTATATAATATTATTAGTATTTATTAGAATAAGAATCAGCAAGATCTCGAGCAAGAAGAACTTGAGATTGAGCTTTGCTTTCCTAAAATTTTTGATGACAACAATTATATTCATAAAATATGAATTAAGAATTAATTAATTATTAGATAATTCTTTTTTCTTTTTTATAATAATAATATTTTTGTAGGTAAAATAATTTTAATAAATTAATAATAAATGAAAATCATAATAATTTATTTTTCATTAGTTTCATAAATCCATTGATCTTTTGGTGGTTGAACTTCAAGAGGTTCCCATCTAATATATATACATAATTTGTTTACTTTCTCTTCCATAAATAAAATGAGCAAACAGCATAATCAAATATTTTTAGATTAATTAAACTTACGGTTTCCATTCTTCCATTTTACCGACCAATTTCAATTCATCTTCTGCTTGTACAATCAACTCTTCAATTTGTCCACAATTTATCTTATTCTCAATTTCCACAATTTCTTTTGTACCTTCCACAATTTTTAATCTTTGTTTAGTGAATGATTCAGTGGCTTGACGATAAACTGAGGTTGAAGGCAGTTTTGTGAGCGCTCTCAATGTTTTATCATAGATTTTTATTAAGTGTGGTCTTGGATTTGGATGTACTTCTATCCCAAATATTCCTGTTGTTGTCTAAATTAATTCTAATTTTTATAAATTTCTGATTCAGGGTTTCATTTTATTTTTTTTTTTTTGTTATTTTTTTTGAAAGAAATAAATAGTTTACCTTTTGTGCCGCTTTGAATAAATTTCTTGTAGCTTGCATTGTTTCAAATTATTTTTTAAAAATTTACGTGTGACAACGATAGCTAAGAAAAATGATAACCATAAATAATCACTTTTTGAAATTGTAAAAGATCTGCGATTATTTTTTCACCTTTAAATGAACTTTAAATATAAAACCCCCATAATAAATAATAATTCAAATAGAAGAAAGTTTAGGTGAAATAACACGTATTGTTAGAACATCTACCACCTCTGAGAAAAGACTAATGCAAGGAACTTTTTATTTTATTATTTTATTTGGTACGGGGGAGGGCTTTTTTGTGATTAATAAAAAAAGTCCCAAGCTATATATATCATTGAAATCCATAATAATTATCACGTGAAACACGAACTGCACGAAATATGTATCGATCTTCCAAATATTTTTTGGTGTCAAAAAAAAATAATTTTCTATTTATTTTATTCTATCCAAATTTACAATACTTGTGACTTAATTTTTTTTGCCTTGTCTCTCTTTACTATTTACATTATTAATAATATTATTTAAACACAAAAAAATTTAATGGATAACCGGCAAACAAAACTTGAAGAATCTAATAATAATAATAATAATACAGCAAGCTCACCAAAAGTTATATGGAACAGTGGACAACAAACATTTAAGCCTACAAACCGAGTTATAATGCTTATTGGCTTAGATCCTAATAGTACTACTGGCTTAATAATGGTTTGAATTTAAAAAATATGAAATCTATAAAGTTAAAAAAATATTTCTATAAATAAAAAATAATAAAAATAAAACTTAACATTTAATGCTTTTTAGAAAAGCTTTGAAGCTCATGGTTTTAAAGTTTCTGTTGACTATCGACGAGATGATACTACAGGTTACGTTCATTTAAATTTACAAATGGCAAAAGAATTCGCTGCGCATATTATGGCAAAGGGTGGCTTGAAAGTTGGCACCGAGACTGTGATTCTTCGTGCTCTTGATGGTTAGTTACTTATTATTTCTTTCTCTTTTACTACTATTACTATTACTATGTTATTGTTATTATTGTTACTATGACGAGTTTAATTAATAAAGATAATAGAATACATATAATATAATATATTGGTATTACTATTATCACTATAATTAATAATCGACTAATCAACTAATAGGTATTGATGAAGCAATGTATTGGGGTGTTTATGCAGCCACACGAAGTATAGGTTCAAAGGCTACAAATCAATATAAAACTAACAGTAAAGCAAGACATACTAGACGACTTCATCGACATAGTCCGTATTTAACAAATTTTAAAAACATTGAAATCGATGACGATATCGAAGATCAACAGCAACAACTTTCAATAAAATTTCATCTTAATAAATGTCACGGCAATAATCAACATCAACATCATAAAATTCATCATTACGTTACCAAACAAAAATCTAAAAATAAAAAAAAATCAAAATGTAGTTCAAAAAATCAAGAAGCTGCCAGTCATAGCATGATACTAGAAACTAACAACAACAACAACAACAACAATAAAAATAACAAAACCAAAAACAATAATGCCATGGAATACGAAATACGTTCAACAAACACCAATGATTACAACCAATTATTAAACAACTCATCATCCTTCATATTATCAACATTCAAAGATGAGACTGAAGAAGTGGAATGGAAGTTTAAGAATATGAGAGTAGTATCTCCTGATGAGTAAATTATTGTAATTAACAATAGTTGTAATAGTCGTAGTAATATATGTTCAAAAAAAAGCACATTGTATAATCTAAAAGGTATTATAAATTTATAATAAAATACACATTATTTTCATTAAAAATATTTTTTTGGGGGTTTATAATAATATTTAATGTATATATCTACATGCGTGCATGTCTATATGTATATTTTATAATCATGAACATTTTTCTTTATCTTGACATTATAAAATAATTTACTTTGTTTCTGAGAATTCAGTCTAAGGAATAGAATTTAATGATATAAATAATAATAATATTATTATTTCTTCATTTGCTTAATCTTTTATTTATTTTAGATTACACTAGTAGTGTTAATAGTAGTGGAATAAATAGACGATTGTAGTAACTCATAAAATTTTACTATCAATTAAATTTATTTTTTTTTTATTTTTTTTTAATTAATTGCAGAGATTTCATAAAATCTTACATTTCACACTCACATTCTAATCTTCACTCTCTATATTTAATGAAATATTAGTTTAATTTATATAGATTCCAAATTTCTTCGAATTGGAAAAAGACTACATTATTAAAACAACTAGCTGTATATATAATAATAAATATAATTAAATAAATTATTCTACATTGTGTATAAATATATATATATAAATAATTTTTTTTTCTTATTTTCTTATCTTCTTATCAACTTTTATTTCTTTCAATTAATGCTTTATCATTATTATTAATTATTATTATGTTGTTGTTGTTGTTGTTGTTGTTGTTGTTGTTACTACTATTATTATTATTTTCTTCTTTTTGTAATCCTATTCCTTCAGCTATTGATAACATTTGTCTTAATCCTTGATTTTCAATAATCAAACTTTCTAAAAGAATATCGTTTTCTAAGTCTGACTGTGCATCATATGCTTGTCTCACTAAACTACTTATTGTTGAAATATGTGTTTGTAATGATACATTCTCTGATATGATTTGTTCCTTTTGAGACTTAAAAAAAACAATCATTAGATGATATTAATTATTTGTTAAAAATATATTAATATGAACAATATGAACAGTGTTACCTTTTCCTCATTTAATAATGATTCATAGTGTTGTTTTAATTCTAATTTATTTTGTTGGACTTCATACTTTTAAATTAAAAAAATATTAATTAATTAAAATATATTTTTTTAAAAATAAAAATAAAAATAAAAGATTATTTCAATGATATTTACTGATTGACTTCTAAATTTATTCATAATTATTTGTAAAGTATTTTCGTATTCTTTTATTATCAATGACAATTCAGAATTCTCTTCATTTAATTGCTGATTTTCAAACGTCAAGAAAGCATTCTGTCTTTCAAGTTCTGTGCCTGACTCAAAAGAAGGCGGAACTTTCAACAAAAAAAAAATAAATGAAAATAAATAAATACGATTATTCAAATAAAATTTAAAGATCGATGATAATATTAATATCACCTTTGAAATTTTGGCAAAGTATAGGGTTCTCTAATTCTTGTGTACGATTCTTTAATAATAAAATAAAAATATAAGTTTTAATTAAAAAACATTCTTGTAATAATCAAATAATTGAAATAACAATTACTAACTCTTAAAATTTCCAATTTTTGTTCTAAGTTTTTGGTATGATCTCGATTTATTGCAAGTTGGTTACATAAATCTTGAATAAATTTTTTGAGACGGACTGGATCATCCTCAATACTTATCATTTCTGGTGCCATTATTCAACAAGAGAAATTTTTAAGAGAGAACTGTTTTGATAATTAAAACAAATTGTTCTACATAATTTAAAATTTTCTGGGGTCTTGATCTTTGTACAAGGGTTCCTTATTGGAGTAGGACCTCGGATTCTTATATGGGGCATGCTGGATACAAAACCAGACAAAGTGAACATTAGTATTACCAAGAATTTCAGGGATCAATAGTGTTTGTTTAACGTCACAATGAATCCAATGCAGGTCATTTCTTAAAATCGAATGCCACTCCTTTAAATTTTTAAAAATATATATGGAGAAATGGTCCATCCTATATCAAGTTTTATTATTTCATGGAAAAATTTCATATACTGCAGACAAAATGAAATTTCACAGAACAAAATTACAGAAAATTTATTCATAATCTTTTTAATTAATTAGCAATAGACCACAGCAATCACATATTTAATGACAATTAATAACACCTGTTGATTCAACACATTATTTCACACGCATTTTCTTATTATTATTATATACATTTTGGTAAGTAGTCATTTTTGTTGTCATTTTAGGTGTTGTTGAACTTTGATTCCAAAGAAAATCTTTTATAGAATTGGTACTATCAGATAAAAGTTTCTAAATTATATACATATAAATGTTAATTCTATACTTCTATATCTATATTTCACACAAATCATTCATATTACCTCATATTTTAGTAAACCACTAATTGTTTCATGTGCTCTTATCATATCTTTCCATGTCCTTGGTATAGGTATTCTCAACACTTCTTTTGCCATATAAATTTCCAGGTATTTTAATTGGAATTCATATACAATTAATTCACACACTGTAAAAAAAAACAAGGGTTAATAATATGTAATAACAATAATTTAAGAATAATCCACTTACAGTATGATTGTATCCCATAAAGTTTAATCAATCTAATATCTTCCTGTGGATTAATTTCTGCAAATCTGTTCATTAAAATTTTCAACATTTTCATGATTTTAATCCTATCACCTAAAAATGGGACCAATCCTGTTTTGTTATTGGTCTACTCAATTCAGCAACAGAGAATTCTTCTTCATCTCCTCTTAATGAGAGGATCAGATCAATTTTTCTACCACCAGATCGGCATTCATCATCTAATTGATTTCTTTTGCACTAGCTTTTAAACATGTTTTACCACAGGGTTGGCAAATTGACTGATTCATTGAGAACAAATGGATTTTGGACTAGTCCATTGCCATTAATACAATACTAAATATGGTTAAAGTGTTACACCAATGGACCTAATGGACCACCAATAGACCATCAATGGACTGCACATTTGCCAACCCTGTTTCACCATATGCAAAACACCAGATTCTTTATTATTCATAAAAATGCATTAATAATTTGTGCTAAAAAGCATGTTTTAAATGAATGTTCCTTCAGATATAGATTCAGTTAATATATTAACATCATCAATCAATTTTATCCTATATATAAAAAATCGTTAATTTCATTCTTTTTTTGGTAAGATCAAGAAAAATTAAAAAAAAAATTTACATTAGTTTCACATAATCTATTGTAAACTCCTTTTCAAATGGAACATAATATCATTTTGATGTTTAAGGTTTTCTTTGGTTTTATCAATATCATGATTAACCAATTCATTTAAAAATAATTTAATTTCCTCCTTCTTTTCAGTTTCATCATCATTGTTTTCTTCTCTGATATCTTCTAGCCTTTTTGAAATAGTATTTTTGTCAAGTTGATCAGAAAATACTATGTCATAGAATTCTGCATCTTTCCTTGTCAATTTTTTTTCCTGTTGATATTGAGTTAGTTGATCACAAATATCTGATCCATTTGCAACCCACTCAGTGTTTTTACCACCAGTTATTGTTTTATCTTCTTCAAGTTCATCTTCATCTTCATCTTCTTCTTCCTCACTATCATAACCATGTTTATTATTTTCAACAACAAAAGGATTTGGAAGTGATTGTTTACAAATTTTAACAGTTGGAATTAAAGTTGTTTTGAATGATAATGATGATGATGATGGTGACAACAATGACGATGATGATGATAACTGTGACTTTGATATTTGATTTTCATGCTCACTATAATAACAAAAAAATGTTAATCAAACATTAAACAACAATATTGACAAATGAAAAAAAAGAAAAAAATATATAGAATGACAACAAGTGGCAATAACCACCATCCTTACAATAAACACTTACTCATGTTATTCTCTTTGCTTTTCTTGTTTTCTTTTGGTTCTTGGCATCTTTAAAAATTCAAAGAAATTAAAAATTTGTTTGATCAACAAAAACACATATGGTGCAGGACACTTAGTCCCTACAACTTTCTGCACTACAGCAACAGATTTGGAAAAAATTCCCAATCAAAAATGTTTACAGTCACGTGTTTTAAACATGGATTTGTCACGTTGCATTCTCTTTATTAGTATCACGTGATAAAATATCTGCGATACTGATTTCAAAATTTTCAATTCTTCCAATTCGTTCATTTTTAATATAAAAAACTTCTGTGTAACACATCACTTTGGGGGGATTGACATGGGTTCCATGCTAGCAAAAAGGACCTTCGGGAAAAAAGGGGTTTTAGAGAAATCAGTTGATTTTTGTTTTTCTCCCCATTTTTCTGTCAAAACAATCCCTGATTTCTGACTCTAAAAATAAATTACTAACCCCTTTTCTGTCCCACAAAAAAATTTTTTTTATTTACAATAATTAAACAATTAAAATAATTAAACATGACAACTAGTCAAGACACTTCTCAATATTTTTATGATTTATTTGAACTTGGTTTAGAAGAATATGGTGATTACAAAAGTATTCAAGAAATTATTCATAATTTAAAAATTTTTTTGAACATCCAACAAGTTGTACTTGCTGTGTTCTTGAAAAACAAAAAGACATTAGAACTTGCTTTGAAAAAATTGGATTTAAAAAATTTTTTCAGACATTTTCAAATCATTAATTTAACTAACAAAGAATTAGATTTATTTTTGAAAGCACAACTTTTAGCAATGGAAATAGAAAACAAAAATTTAAAGTCTTCTGAAAAAATTATTCAGAGAACAAATTATAGATTTTGCTTTAATTCAACATACTCTCTTTGCCAAACAGCATTTTTAATGTTATATAATATAAGCAATCATAAATTTAAAAATATTGTAGAACATTTACACAATGAAGGAATAAATGAATGAATTCATGGAAACACAGGAAGAGCTCCTATATATAAAACTAAAGTCAATATTGATGAAAATTTAAAATTCATTGTAAAAAATTTTCTAATATTTTTTAATGCATGGATTACCTTCACCAATGAGGCATAGAAATGATTCTGGAGCATTTATTTATCTTCCTACTGATAAAAGATTTATATCTGTGTATAAAGAATTTAAAAAATTTTATTTAGAAAATATTTTAAAAATTGAATCTGAAAATGATTTAGAAGAAGAAAAAATTATTCCTTATTGTTACCAGAATTAGGATTTAATGCTAATTTGTTAGTTGAAATACAGTGCAGATCATCTATAATCATTAATTGCTTATAGTCAGTGTTGGCAAATGACTGGTCATATGACATATGACTTACATGACTTGTCATAAGTCATTTGGTCATTCATAAAGGGTATATGACTTATGACATTGCATATTTTTTGGCCTATAAAAAAAAGAATTAAAATCAAAATCATTTTTTATTTTATCGTTTCAAAATTCAATAATTATGATTGATTATCACTTGTAAAAATATATGGTAATGGTTCTAAATCATCAGCAAAAATACATACATGACAATTCCCATTTTAAGTTGACATTATCTGCTGGATGAATATTATTTACTCCCACCAAAAAATCATTATCCAAATCTTCTTCAAGTAAACTTTCATCACTATGATTTTCTAATTGGTTTTCTTGACTTGCTTCATCTCTCCAATGAGCAACAATTATATTCCATTGATTCACATTTTCATCAGAATTAGAATTCACTGATTCATTGTTATTCTCCAAAAAATCATCATCATTTGTTTCATGGTTTTCATTTACAAATAAATCCTCTCCATCAATAGTTTGTACATCATCATTATCATTTTCATCAAAATGATCAAGGATAGTTGGTTTTGGAATATGAAATTGCTTTATTATATCAGTTTGATCATCTTTCTTAATTTGATGTTGGTACAAAATGTCACTACGAATCTGACTCATTGCCAGGACTTTATTATGCTATAAAATAAAATTTAATTAAAACAACTTTTTTATATACTAAATTCATTAAATAAAATACATACTGATAATCGGTTTCTCCTATTAGTATGAAAATATCCCATTGAGGACCATAATCGTTCTACTGAGGCTGAATTTACACAAACAGCGTGAATATGAATAGCCACTTTTGCTAATTCAGGCCCAACTCCAATTGTTGACTCCCAAAAATTCAAAACATTTCCTTTAAATTGCAAAAAAGAATCATAATCATATGGATCATTCCCTCTTCTATAATCAATCAATTCTGCTAAAATACTAGTTGCTGGTTTTCCACAAAAGGCATGATAATAATACTTCAACCACTGACCAACATGTGTCCATGATAAATTGTTTATAGTTGGTCTAAATTTTGATAATTTATAAGAAGGATGAAGAATAATGGAAAGCAACAAAATTGGTTGCTCCCAACCCTTCCACCTCTTTTCAATTCTAGAAACCATTTTTTCAGAAAAGTCCAAATCATGATGCATAGAAAAAATGTGTAATGTATATGCAAAGCAATGGACCACTTCATAAAGTCTTGCAGCATCCTTTTGTAATTGATTGAGAAAACAACACAAAGGATATAATAGATTTTGTAATGAAAATAGCTTTGACCAAAATACTGGATCGTTAATACTATCTACAATATCATCAGGTAGCCGACGTTTGTTATTTCTAGTTGTTCTTCTGTCCACTGGAATATTAGGAATACCATTTGTACGAGTGACATTTACACGATCAGGATTAAAT